GGGGTCAGTTGAATAAGTTCAAATATATAAAGAGGTTCTATTCATTCCCAATACAGCTTTCAACCTCGATTTTAAGATCTCTGCAGTCGTAAGGCTGCTATAGTTATCAGGCTTTTATATTATTGTTGGTATAGTCATCTACTGTACCGGAGTACTGGCACCGTACTATCGAAGGGCTAGGGCAAGCCTTAGCGAAAGGGCTTCAATACACATATAGTCTCCATCATGTAGAATAGTAATCAACAAGCTTTTTATTGATATCAACACTGAACACCCGTCGGACTTTCTACCATCGTAGATCTGAAAGGCGTTCCCGTTGATACCAACAATTATATACTTTCTAAAGAAAGTTTCATTCCTATTGGAAATTTATTCTTCTAGATGTCACGGTGTTTTTCTCACTTGAGTTGATCTTACAAGATCCGGCTTACTTATATTCCCTTCTTTCTTGATATTGATTATCTGGTTTGGTTTTATTTTTCTTGTATTATTCTGTTATAAAGAGTATAAATAGATGAATTAGACTTATTAGCGTATTTTACTTCTATTTAACTACTATATCATAAGGTACTCTGGTTGAACTAGACGCTTTCATTAGACTAGACTCTAATTAGATAATATACTTGTATACTAGTCTATACTATAAAACAAGAAGAATAGTATAATTATTCGTAATATAGATCTTTAGAGATTTAATTAAATAGCTGTCTCTTAGACTAGTATTCGATATAAACATGAATCAGTATAAGAAGAACTATATAAGCATTCTGAATATTTCAATTTACTATTATTTCCCATTTCTTTTCCGTTCATTTATCTCTCCTTACACTTCCTTTATTTATTCTACTCTCAACAATCGATTATAAGAAGGTTTAGTAGAGTCTTCTTATACTTTAGAGTAATCTTTTCGTTGTCTCGAAGTTTGTTCAGATATTATAATCAAATCATTATTTCAGTCTCGATCATTTTCTCATTTCCACTTCGGGATCACAAATATATCGCAAGACCAGAAATTTATAGTATGCACTAAAAAAAATACTCCAGAAGTGATATTGATGATATCAAGTGGTATTATAGTTCACGCTGGCTGAATTCAAGCTTGAGATCTCTCGTACTACGCCTATACGTAAAGATTTTGGTAGTATCTTCTAGTAGAACTACCAAAATACACATATATAAGTAAGGGTAGGCTGCGCAACGGGTACCCGCGGGGCGGATTATTGGCCTGGCGGGTCCCCCGCGGGTCCTCCGTTTGCGGGGCGGATAATAGAAAATCTTAATGGGGACCCGTTGGGTATCCGCTGCAGATACTCCGCAGATACTCCGCAGATATAAATTTTATAATATTAGTATAATTATAAAAATATAA